GCTCTCTGACTTCTGCGTTCTGGCATCTAGTTCCTAACAATAGTTTGAACTTTGAATTTATTGATTCATTTTTTTGTTTGAAAAAAATGTACACAAATTAAAGCAGGAATCTAGGATGGGATTAGTCACTGATGTTATTTTGAAATGATGAACAAGGAACAACTGCATTTGTCTCCTTTCTCTTCCGCATTATTGAGTGTTTTTTTTTTCCTTTTTAACTGAGGTAGTAAAAAATGACTGCTTATTTTAATTCCTTATCCAGATTTAACTATATTTCTGAACTATACTGATACTACCTTAACTTCTTTTCATTCAGACATTGGATGTCATGCTGCAGATTCTTGTTGTATTTCCAAAGAAAGAGCCACTGCGCTCTAAGGTATGAATTTGGTTTCTTTCTTATCTTGTTGAATCTCACAATTTTTTACTGATGCCCAATACCCATTTTTAGGTCATATCATTCATTCATCGTATGGTGGACACTTTAGGAGCATCTGTATTTCCATATCTTCCAAAGGCATTGGGGCCATTGCTTGCAGAAAGTGAGGTAACAGTTTTTGGTTATATTTTAGTTTGTAATGTAATAATCCTATGGTAGTTGGCTAGTTGGACAGGAGTAATTATCGGGTATTTATTTGTGATTTTCCCCAATATGTGGTGATATGACATATTGGTCTAATAATATGAGGTATTCATTCACCATAATATTTCTCTTTTTCACCATATGTTTGAGTACAATTATCTCCACTGTTTTTTCTGCTTGATTTGATGATAGTAAAATTGTATTGCTATTTATTTTTTTACTTAAATAACATATCAGCCAAAGGAAGTGGTTAGCTTTCTAGTGTTGCTTAATCAGCTCATCTGCAAATTCAACACTGCCATAAGTGACATGTTGGAGCAAGTTTACCCTCCCATTGCTGGTAGGATATTCAGTATTCTTCCTAGAGATGCTTTTCCATCAGGACCTGGTTGCAACACTGAGGTATGTGAACTTCTGAAGTATGTGCCCATTTATGTTCCTGTTCAGGTCCAGTTTTCTTCATTAGCATACCAATTATCAATACTTTCATCTCTTGTTCCTTAGATAATTTGAACTGTTCCTTCTTTTCTAACTTTCTTGGGATTGCAAGCTGTTATAGCTATGCCCAATATTGGACTCTACAAGGTTTGCTCTGTATCTTATGAATCGTGATTGCTTTACTTCATAGGAAATCCGTGAATTACAAGAGCTTCAACGAATGTTCTACACCTTTCTTCATGTCATTGCCACCCATGATCTATCATCAGTTTTCCTTTCCCCCCAAAGCCGGGTGTACTTAGATCCAATGGTGCAGATGCTGTTAAATGCTTGCTGTAATCATAAGGATATTTTTGTCCGGAAGGTTGTTGTAGTATATATATTTTACTATTATCTTATTATATATAATAAACTCAGTCCAACTTTTTTTCAATTTCTGCTATTCAGGCCTGCATACAAATATTTATCAGACTAATAAAAGATTGGTGCGTGCCCTATGGTGAAGAGAAGGTAAGTTCCTTTAGATGCACGGTCTCATGTGAGTATATGTTATAGGTACTGAAAGCATGAACTGTTGTCCTCTTCAGGTGCCTGGTTTCCAAAGTTTTGTGATCGAGACATTTGCAACAAACTGTTGTATTCACAGTGTTCTTGATGAATCATTTGAGTTTCGTGATGCAAATATGGTTAGTTGATTCATAACAATTATTTGAATAGCACTTAATTTGGGTCTAGTAATGGTAATTTTTATGCTGTGTTAAAAGGATTTTATAGTAACCATGTTTCTTCTTGCAATTGATATTATAGTATTTACCTCAATGTTTTCATTGCAATATCTTTTTATGCCCCTGCTTCGGTCTACTCAGTATCTTATTCTGTCACTAATTTCATTTATGCTAGATATTCTCTTTTCACTTCATTATTCTTTTGGGTGTCGTAGAACAATAAAATCGCATTCAAAGTTTGTACGATTTGTGAACGCCCAACTGATTTTCCTCTCATTACCCTTAATTATTTGGCAGCTTATTTTATTTGGCGAAATAGTGTTGGCTCAGAAGGTTATGTATGAGAAATTTGGCAACGATTTTCTCATTCATTTTGTATCTAAAGGTTTGCCCAGTGCTAATTGCCCTCAAGATTTGGCCGAGCAGTACTGTCAGAAACTACAGGTAATTGTCCAGATTCAATCAAAGTGGAAACGCTTTACATTTGGTATAAGCTGTTCATGTTAGGAGACTACAGTAACTAATTTTTTACTGTCTTGCTATTCTGCCACTAGGGCAATGACATGAAGGCACTAAAATCATTCTACCAATTGCTCATTGAAAAGTTGAGACTCCAGCGCAATGCCAGCACGGTTTTCAGATAGCATTTTCAGAACGGAATAGTTTGGTCTCTGATGTTTATCCCTGTTGAGCTCATTAAACTATGTTCATCAGAAGTGCGTTCCAATTATATCTTTGCATACTTGAACAACTTCCGTTTCTCTGGATACCCGCACATTATACACCCCGCTGGATAATTACATTACAGACTATTGCAGGGCACTTTTCTGTAAAAATCATTTCTCTTGCTGCCCATGGAAACCCAGGTATGTGGGTGATTTCTATGTTGCATAACTAAAGTTTGATAATACCCTCTATTTTCTTCTCTTTTTTTTTTTTTTTTTTTTTTTTTTTTTTTTTTTTTTTTTTTTTCATTAAATAGGTGTAAATCTGCTGCAGCAAATTCTTAGTACTAAGAATGTTAACATGCTCAGTTTTGGTGGTCCATTGTGAAAGATTCTGCTAGAGTGGCTGGCCTTGTATCAATCTTACAGCACCCAAATCCATATCGCCATTAGCCATTGTGTAAATCTTTCAAGTATATGTATATACATATTCTCCATTTGTTCTGCTTATTCATTTTATTAAAATATTTTTCTTATATTTTGATAGATAAAATGGTACACCTCAACTTCTCCTTTGTTTCTAAATATCAGTATCAGACTACTCAGTCTCTTTGCTTGACTTGTACTTGAATATTAACTCTTGGGCTCGTGACCTTTTACAGTTTTACAAGCCTGTTGTGACAACAGTCAATGGTTATATCAATAGCAATGTGTGGATCATGGTCTACTTTATAACAATTGATATTAGGGCGTCACTAACCCTTCTTCCCTTTTCTTCCTATTTTGTGGGTTCCAATTCTTTCACATCACCATATAATCTCTTTACCTATTTTATTTTATTTTATGGAAAAATGACAAGTTTGGTCTTTGAGTTATAGCCGTAGTGATGACTTAGTCTATGTGTTATTACCATATCTATTTTTAGTCCCTCGGTCATGAGTGAAGTGGCGAGTTTGGTCTCTAACATTAGTGGTGCGTTGATAGTGTTAATTCCAGGGGTGAAGTAAATTCTCAAATAAAACTTGTATGCAATATAATCTGTTACCCTCATTTCCCCTCAAATCGATAAAAACCTTAAATCTTCAATGTAATCAACGAAGAAATCCTACTACGCAGCTGGTTTGGAGAAGAAATCCTACAATGTATTCAAGAACGTTGTTGGGCACAAATCAATCTTTCACTTGTCTAGCCGTTTTAATAACCACCGTATGATTATTGCAACACAGTTAGACACATCCATATCAACCCATTCAACTCCATTTTTTTTGAAAAAAATCAAATTTCAATATTTCAATTCTATTTATAAAAAACAACTTAAATTGCAATTTTTTTTATAAATAATTTTTTTTAAAAAAAACTTACTCCATAACTTGGTATCTTTTTCCTGGATTAGTATAACTCCATGACATTTTCATGAGTAATAAATCACCACATTTCCATAGGAAATTATCTTTGAATTTTGGTAAAAATATGAAGTACCACAACTAAGAGATGACATTCTATAAATAATGGCTAAATTAGTTCATCAATACTACAAATATTGCTTATTTACTTGAACATATAAAATATGGAAACAACTTACCTATGCATTTCGCAGCTTGCAAGTGGACGAAATTAGATGTCAGTGTTTGGAAGATGAAGACCTTTGATTTCGCTGCTTGAAAGAAATAAGAAAACAAATGTTGTTGCACAAATGGGTTTCAATATAAGAACTAAGAAGGATATTATAATTTGAAATTTATATTTTACCATGTATTAATTGTTTTAAAATTTTCCGTTAGCTGCAGATGAAATACTAACGTCAGGGGCCAAACTCACCACTTCGTCCATAATAGAGGGACTAAAAATGGATACGAAATAACTTAGGGATTAAGTCGGAACTTGAGAATAACTCAGAGACCAAAGATGCAAATTTTTTTTATTTTATTTATAAAACAAGGGATGGGGGACAACTGCGCATCTTTTGTGGTACGTGAACAACATGCGCCACATGATTGGTGGTGTATGTTGCCCACACGCCACACATTCTGGGAGACAACCTTCGGAGATGACAATCTCCCCGGAGATTGTTTCTTTCTCTCGATTTCCCCCCTATCTTTCTCCCTACTCTTCTTTCTCCCCTCAAATTGGTGCATTCGAGATGCCCTTAATAAAATAACAAAATCTTTTGGTACACCCTATAATGAAAAGTTAGAGTATATTGTCTGAAAAGGGTCACTAAATGAATGGTGTATAATTATGGTACTAAAAGATTATAAGTTTAATTTTATCAACACTTTCTCGACCGATTATATCAGGTTGTTCAAAATAAAAAGGAACTGAAATGATTTCATTCAAAATTGTTCTCCCTTGCACCTTACTATTTTCTTTTTAGGCATACCTACGCAAGAAGAGGAACCACAAATAGTTGTTAATAAAATATATTATCCCGAAATGTTCTTATACGTTACTTTGTATTTCATACTTTGGAATTTTTTTACATATACAAATAATTATTAAGTAATGGTTAAAAAAAAAATAGAATTTGGTAAAAAGTTAATTATGGTGTGTAGGAAGAAAAGTTTGACCCATTGACCGTATCATGCAGTAGAAAGAATTGATTCATTTCCACTTTCAGACCAAGAAGGCAAGAAACGCCTCTTTCTGAGGCTCGAGCGATCTCCGGAAGCCACTTTCTCCGGGCACTGTAAGAAAGCTTTCCCGTCAATGCTCGTGCCGTCGAGAGTTCCATTTCTCTTCCTTCTCAGATCTCTCCTTCGCAATCATCAGTGGTAAATAAAGCTTTAATTTGATTTTTGGCGGTAAAAGTATTGTTAGGATTTCCAAATCCGGTGGCTTATATATGTTCCCCTTTAAGGTTTGAAACCGGATGAACTATTCTTAAGAGTAATAATACATTTTTCATTTTCGTTGTAATTTTCAGCTCGATGCTTCAAATGGCCCCCTTCTTCACAAAGTTTGTTCTCTTCTTCGTTCTAATCTCCACTGTGTGTCTCTCTCACAGGTAGGCAATATTTTAGAGATTCTTCCATCTCTACTTTGACAATGAATGCTTGTCTCGTGAGCTTTGTTTTGGATTTAATTTGATAATATATATGGAGTAAACTATTGCGGTGCCAATTCTTAAGAAAAATGAAAATGCGCATTTGGCTATAATGGACTCTGACTAGTGAAATCAATGAATTTCTAAGTCATTGTAAACAAGGTTCCATGTGTGATTCAAGCTTGAAGTTCGATCTGAAAGGGTTAATTACGCTAGATAATTAGATATTCTGTGTCATTTGTAAAATTAGCACTTCAAGTTGTTAGTTTATGATTATTTATCTTGTTCGTTTAATGTGCATGAGCTGCAGAAGTGAGGGAAAAAGATGATCAAATGCAACGTATGGTTAGATTATAATTATTCAGTGCTTGTTTGGATCAGTTGGAGCTTATTGAGAAATAGTTTCAACTGTGGAGTTTCTTCTTTGCATCTTATTTAACTTTATTAAAGGCGATTTTGGCCTTGTTTGGTAAATGGTTGTTGGCTGATAGCTGATTGTGTTAATTAGAGGGTATAACTAGTTGATAACATTAGCTGTTGTAGAGAAGTGTTTGGTAAATTAGATGTTAGCTGATAGCTGTTTGGTATAATTTCTTTTCTCAAAAAGCTAATTGAAAAAGTTGCTTGGAGTAGCTTTTTTAAATTTTAACATTTTGGAGTTGCAAAAAAGCTAATTAACTAAACACTTATATTGATATTTTAACTAAATCAAACAATTAATAGTGGTCAAATAAGTCAAAATTGGCATAACCAATTTTTTACCAAACATGGCCTTTATCTTTTTTTGCGTGTTGCCCAGCTTATGCTTTTTTGAGTGAATAAGCTCGAATAAACCCTAGGCCAAACACTGATAAGGCCTTGAAAAGAGTCAATTACTAATCTCCCTGTTATGATCAGATCTTTTTCATCCCAAGATGGTTGAAAGAAAAAATAGGAATAATGCTAGGACATCCATCATTTCAGATGGACCAGCTTGAAGTGCAGCGAGTCTAAAAGAGGGGGAAAAGTCGGGTATGCCTAAAAGTGAGAAGGCAGCAATTCTTATATGAGAACAGTAACCATTTAAGGATCATGTGTGTGTGTGTTTTTTGTTTCAATATTTTCAACTTTATTCTAATTTTGGGACTTAATTTGGAGATGCAGTTCTGATTGTATTTTATCTTTTAAGTTGTTGACCTTTTTAGGAAAGGGCTTGAGGTCATTGAGCTGCTGATTATATGAATAAGATTATTGCTAACTTTCTTTGATGCTCTAAACTTGTAGATCTTCAGCAGCCGTTACTGCAGAGAATGAAAAGACCTTAGCTATGATTAAGCCAGATGGAATTTTGGGTAACTATTCAAGTGTTATAAAGGAAACCATTAATAATCACGGTTTCAGTATTACTCGAGAACTATTTGTTCAGCTAAGCGAGGATACTGTGAAAAGCTTTTATGCTGAGCATTCTTTAAAGAGCTTCTTTCCGAGCCTCATCGAGTACATGACAAGGTATTTTCTTCTTTTTTTGCTCTGTTTTGCACTATGAGTATCGGCTTTTATTATACAATGTAAGATTCTATTAGTTGTTGAATGCAAAGTTTCCCATGTATCTCTCTGCCTCTCTTGTACACAATAACAAAAACGCAAAATTTTTTTAAAAAAATTGAAATTGCTGATCCATTTCTCATTTGTTTACCAGTGGCCCGGTGCTGATAATGGCTTTAGAAAAAGGGAATGCGATTGATGATTGGCGTGCTTTAATTGGACCAACTGACCCTCTCAAAGCCAAGGCTACTCATCCTCACAGGTCAACAACTTATATTCTTTCATTTACTCCTGTGCAATATAAACTTCCTATCGGGTTTTGCTTAGGTTCTTACCATGACTCCCGTTTCTATCACTTTCAGTATCAGAGCCATGTGCGGGCTGGATTTGCAAAGAAATTGTGTTCATGGTTCAGACTCGCCCCAATCTGCAGCCCGGGAAATATCTTTTTTCTTTAACGAGCCATCTTCAGGTCAAAATTCTTTCTCTGTTGTGTTTGACTTAACCAGCTATGACCAAATTAATTCATAGGAAAACAATAACCAACATACTTCATGAATTTCATTTGAGTTTTCATCATATTGTGATGCCTCTTAGAACATAACCGCTGGAGACCAAATACCCCAACATACCCCAATGTAACCAAACTACCCCAACATACCCCAATGTAACCAAACTACCCCTCCCCCCTCCCCTCACACACACAAATTGTTAAAGAAAATGCCTTCTAGCGTATTGACAAAAGGAGAAAGATTGTTTATAAAAAATAAAAAGAAAGAAAGACTACTAAGTATTAAGTAAGCAATTGACTAAAGGAGATAACTTTAGAAATTCCTTAATGAAAGTATCAAGAGATTCTTTTTGGGTTTTCATTGTCATTGCTCGCATTTTCTGAAGATTGCGTTTACATTTACTCTGCAGGGCATGATGAACTATAAGTTCGAACATTTGAAACACGATGTACGTTGTATACTCGTATCATGCCTCGGCCAATGGCAATGCATTACACTTAGAGCTCGTCGAATATGGACAGCATCCCCGCAACCTTGCTATTAGCTGCATCCTGCAGTAGACACGGCCTAAAAGAGTCGCAATCTATGTCATGACTACACTACCTATGCTTTGCACTTAACATCTATTTTGTAAGGAGACAATGTTTAGATTGTTAGGCTATCGTTATCCTTTAAATACTCTTTCACTTTAAAAATTGAGTCATATTTTCACATCATCAAATTTGTAAATATTTTCTTTACGTCATTGTAATTTTGACTCACTTTCAAAATTAGTACTGCTCTTTAAACTCACTTTTATAATACAAAATAACAATAAGATAATAATTTTAAAATAAGAAAAAGAAACATGTACAAAAGATACTATTTTTGCAGCTTTTGTGCTTATTGCCAGCTTGCAATACACTGTGATTTCAAAAAAAAAAAAAAAAAAAAAAAAAAAAAAAAAAAAAAACATTTATTTTTGTTTACATGTCAACTTGCAAGAGGCAAAAATGCCCTTTGAGTGACCTCTGAGATATCACCTCCTTCACTATAAAAATACAAAAAATTTAAAACTACAAATTTCATCATTCAACTAAAAAACAATATTTTTTTTAGCGAAAAAGGGGGAAAATAAAAAATTTAGGGGTCACATTAGAAATATCAAAATTTTGGGGGGGCCATCCAAATCGTTAAGCGCAGCAGAATCAAGCATGAATACTAGTACACTACTGCCTTCGGCCTTATATGTGCTTCTACGGTTCCTGGGAAAAATAGGCCACTTCCACACTTAGGGTTTTCTCAGATCTGAATCAACCTAGAAAGTCAACTCTTTTTGGGTTTTGTTACCTGGGTTTATGGTTCAGCTATTAGGGTGTTCTTGATTTGAGTTCAAGCTGCGCTGCCAATGCAATTTGAATATAACTCGGGTAATTTTTCGGTGAATTTTCGGATACCGGAAAAGTTGAACAACTCCGAGCGCGAATTCCCGGCCTTCATTATCATCAATAATGTCTTGGGCCAGTCCGGAAGATATCCACCTCTCCACTTCTCTTGCCAGCTATCTTGACAGTCGGTTCTCTCTTTCCCTCTATTTCTTTTACTAATTTTCTTTTAGTTTTATGAATTTGTCTGGTTTAGTGAGTTAGTAACGTGATATGAATAAAGCTCCGGTCTTGTATCTGTGTTTGAATTTCCAACAATAATGTGTGTTTTGCTAAACTGCGCTGTAGAATCTCGGAAAGTTCACATTTTTGTTCTTTATGTTTGGTTTCTGATACTGATGCCTGGTTAACGAGTGTGTGTTGATAAAGTCCTCCATAGAATCTTAGAAAGTTCATATTTTACTGTTTGGTTTCTGATACTGATGCCTGGTTAACCCTATATTGTAGATTCATCTTTTCTTGAGTATTCAAAACAGTGCCCCCTTCATTATTCGAAAACTTGGCATTGTGGTTTAGTAATGTTTATGAATTCCGTGCTTCTATTTCTTCATAGGCGGTTTCTTGTCTTGCCAAGTATTGCAGATGGTGTTAACTGTTAAGTAGAGCGGTTTTTGCTTAAACTAGAAATTTCTGATTTCCCGTATATTGTCTTAACCATCACTTTGTTTCTCAACAGAGAAACTTCTTGTGTTGCTGCGAGATGGTCGGAAGCTTTTGGGCACACTTAGATCTTTTGACCAATTTGGTAACGTTTCTTTTTCATTTATTATCCACTTTGAATTTGACTGAAAATGTTAGCCAATTGATGGAATTGTTCCTGTCCTTTTAGCAAATGCTGTTCTTGAAGGTGCATGTGAGCGGGTTATTGTTGGTGATCTCTATTGTGACATTCCGCTAGGTCTATACATAATTCGTGGAGAGAATGTTGTGCTGATCGGCGAGCTGGTATATTATGTTTTCATGTACCGAGTTTTGTTTTTTTAGTCTTGCGTTTAATCTTAGTTTAACAAGCTTTCTGTGATTGGTCAGGATTTGGATAAGGAGGAACTTCCACCTCATATGACTCGCGTTTCAGAAGCAGAGATAAAAAGGGTATGATACTACCTATATATATATGCACTAAAGTAGTGTAATCTTGGATCTGCCAAAATTAGGGATATTGCTGTAATGACTGTTTGGTATTTCAAATTGTCTAATATAGCTGTCTTATATGTGTGTATTACTCATTCTTCAGGCACAAAAAGTAGAAAGAGAGGCTACCGATCTTAAAGGAACTATGAGAAAGAGGATGGAGTTCCTCGATATGGACTGACTGATGTTTCCAGCACGAGAAATCTGGTTCTGCAGTTTGCACTCACGCCATGTCATCTGCAAATATTATCGCGGTTGCTGGGTGCTGCAAAATGTAACTAGGACCAGACGGTCAGGCATTCTCTACCGAGGTCGAGGGTCTGTTTCCCATTTACTTTTCTACCCCCGTTTCGCCACATCATCTGCCCCTTACGAAGCCCATTGTCGTCGTGTTTAAATTATACTAGTGTTGCTAGGTTGAAGTCTACTTTTTGTTACTAGACTAGATGAGTAAAGTATGCTGCTTGCTGGAGATGGAATGGAGAGTTGCTCAGTTTTATCTTGAAATGATGAGTAAAAGTATGGCTGCTGGAGATGGGATTGAGAGTTGCTCAAATTTTATCTTGAAATCAAATTGTAGAATCAAGAATGACATCTTTGAGTGTTAGAGACCTTATATCTACTACTGTAATCAAATGTTATGCTGACTCCTTGAATTAAAGAAAAATTTTAAAAAAATATTCACAATTGTTTTGCTAAATCTTGTTCAGTTTTGCAACCTTGATCTTCTTCCTCCATTTGATAACTCAAAACATTAAGCATCCAATGTATCTCCTCCATACCTGTCTGCATGGCTTTTCCAGCGGAGAACATATACACCTTCTTCTTCACCTCAATCCAACTATGCCCTGCAATTTTCTTCAACCCCTTTGTCTTTGCTGAAAGTCTGACATTTGCAGAGTCATCCCATCTTCTACAGCCAGCATACAAGTTACAAAGCAACATGTAGCTCCCTGTCATCTCAGAATCAAGATTGAGAATTTGAGCAGCAGCCTTCTCTGCAACTTGTGTGTTTTTATGCATTCTACACGAGTTCAATAGCGCGCCCCAAACACAGGCGTTGGGTTTCATCGGCATGTTTTGCACAATGTCGTGAGCCTCTTGCATCAATCCAGCTCGGCCCAGAAGATCGACCATACAAGCATAATGCTCCACCTGTGGTTCAATCTCAAATCGTGTTCTCATTTGATCAAAAAGTTTGCGGCCCTGACTAACGAGCCCTGCATGACCACATGCCGAGAGAATTGCCACCATAGAAACCTCGTCTGGTTTAAATCCAGCTTTAATCATCTGATCAAAGGTTTCCAGAGCACGATCACCATGGCCGTGCATTCCATAGCCTGAAATCATCATGTTCCACGAGAATATATCCCTTTCTTCTACACGGTCAAACACTATTTTCCCATCCTTAAGACTACCACATTTCATGTACATGTTAATCAGTCCATTTCCTACCAATAAATCTACATCCCTTAGAACCTTAATTATAAAACCATGGATTTCTCTACCAAGACGCAACGCAGATATATCAGCACAAACTGATAAGACTCTTGAAATAGTAATGGAATTGGCCATTACTCCCGCAAATTGCATTCTTTGAAAGAGTTCTAATGACTCCTCGTGTTGCCCCTTAGCAGCAAATGCCCCAATAACAGCACTCCAACTTACTACATTTGGTCTGATCATCGAATGCTCACCCAGCTTCTCTAACTGAGAAAATATGGCGAAGGCCTCGTCACATGATCCAGATTCCGCATAGGAAGATATCAAAGAATTCCAGCTGACTATACTCCTTGAGTGCAGCCCAGAAAATAGATGCTCAGCTGCTTTTACACCACCATTTTTCCCATACAAACTTATAAGAGAGTTTATCACAATTGAGTGATTCTCAAAACCGCCTTTTATGACATATTCATGTATCATCTCACCCTTGTCTGGTATGTTCATGGTAGCACAAACTGATATGAGCGTAGCAAGTGCTTCAGCAGTAATCTCAACTCCAATCCTTTTCATCTGAACATACAATCCCCAGGAATCTTGATGCCGCCGGCATTTAGCATAACTCGACAACAATGATGTCCACGTTACAGGATTTGGGTGCCAACCCTCGGATTCCATCCGCAAAAACATCTGACGAGCTCCATCGCAATCAAAATTACGGGAAAACCCTGAAATAATGACATTCCAAGAAAGGTGAGTTCTTGTGGACATTTTGTCAAACAATATATGAGCAATATCCATCCTCCCAACCTTTCCATACATGCTTAACAATTCATTCACAGTATGAAGGTGATTCTGAAAACCCATTTGTATTACGTGGCAATGAACAACCTTGCACAGGTTGTAATCACCCAACATCGCACAAGCCCTTACAATCAATGGAAACCCAAAGGCGTCAGGCCAAATCCCAAACAAACGCATTCTGGCATAAACCTTTACAGCTTCTAAGAACTCTCCGTGGGTAACATTTGCCCGCAAGATGGAGTTCCAAAACAGCAAATTGGAAAAGCACTCAACCAGGGAGGTTTCAAACACTTTCCGGGCATCATCGAGAAGCCCAAAGTTGGAATAGGCAGAAATGAGCCTAGCGACCAAGAACCCGGAGGTGGATGCGTCGGTGAGTATGATTGGGGAGTGGATTTGTTTGATATGCTCAGCGCAGGCACTGAATTGCTGCAGCAGGTTGTCGAAGAAGCCAAGGAGTTCATTTTGGGCGCTTGAGTAAAGGACTGGTCTCACTAACCTGGTGTTCAGTGAAGAAGGATTGTAAGAGGTAACAGAACGCTGGAGAGTGAGAAGTGATGGGAGAGTAATGAGATGTCTTGAAGCTAAAAAACAGCCATGGATCATTGCTCTCTGGGACTGGGATACAGCTTCATCGAACACTCTTTTGCCTTGAAGCAATATAATAAATTTAAGAAGAACATATTATAAGTTATAACATAAAAAAGATACACTATTATACTACAGCACTACACTGAAAAATAAAAATACACACAGTGACACTAACACAATAATATACAAATACAAATTATACAATGCAGACATACAGTAATATATTATATATACACTGGAAAAAAAAAACAACAATTAAAAAAATTATTTAAAGGTAAGAAATTAAATTACCTGATTCGGTGCTGCGGTGGTTGCCGACTAGCCGGAGATCGCTGCTCTTGACTGCGTCCTGGGCGACGGCGAGTGGCTGCGTCGGCCGTCGGCTGGGAGAAGATCGAAGACCGGAAGACGCGTCGGCTGAGGACTGGCGAACTGACTGGCGTACTTGCGTGTTGCGTGTTGCGTGTTGCGTGTTGAAGTGTTGAGTTCTCCTCCCAAAATGCTCTATTAGGTCGAGGTGTGGGGGCCCTTAAATTGGGGTTCAGCCTTTTGAAATAATTTTTAAAAATAAAAAATACACGGGTGCCTAGGCGCTGATTAATCTCCACCTAGACACTTCCTGAGCGCCCGCTGGGTGCCTAGCGATTTTTTCAACCATATTTATAAGCAAAAATATAATATTTTTGATGAAAAAAATAATATTTTAAAATTAAAATATAAAATTAATACATTTTTCTTCAAACATATTGTATTTTCTCTTATAAATAACACATATTTATTAAGGATATATGAGGCTCACTCACATTTGTCATTTATATTTTTGTTCTATAAATTCTATAATATTTTATTCATAATTAGTATTACATTTGTTAATATAAATATTACATTTTATATTGACCCGGCCCATTTTACAATAAGAAATAAAACGATCTCACACAAATTTATGTCTAAAAAATAAAAATAAAAAAGCATGTGAAAGAGTTGGCGAAGAAATGTGAGTTAGGCGTTTTATTGCCGCGTTTCGTACGAGGTGGTTTCCTCCGCAGTCCAGTCTTCACTTTCCAAACACGACTCTTCTACTCCTCCAATCCTAAACCAGTATCAGTATTAGTATTTAGTAAAATGTCTTTTTTCAATAACATCCACATTGACTTTATGGACTTTCTTTTAATTCTGATTAATTAATACGGATTATTAATCAATATTGTTTTCATCTTTCTTCCTACGTACCTTCCCACATGTTTCTCATGAGATAGAGAAAAACAATATCTTATTATAAAACTGGGTTTTTGCATTGTTTTTTAGGAAGAAACAAAAAAAAAAAAAAGTTGTATTCTGATCACTCGCCAGCTGGTGCGTTAGGATGGGTGACCATGTTGCAACACCAATCAAATTAATTAGACAGTTAATTTAATTTGTGATCATTTAGTGTCTAAAGTCACAAGACGTATTTTATTCAAACTATACATTCAGATAATAATTACGTGTTTCTACAAAACAAAGGATCAGGACGACCACATTGACTTTTCTCTTTCCTTTAAAAAAAAATTGCTTGATTTTTTTTTTGTTCTTTTCTACTTGGCAATTTAAAACTGACACAACCCTCAAAAAACTAAAATGATGGAGACTTACTCTGCTGCACGTTAATCTAATTACTTCCAGAACTAAATGGGTTGTTTGGTCGACATGAATTGCATTGCAATTTTACCATAATTCTTTTGTTACTCTAATTACAATGTTTAGTTAGAGGGAATTGCAATTCCATCCTTTCAATCGTTTGGGTGAATTACAATTCATGATACTCCCCTCAACCAAACGCAGAGTAAGTATTCTTACATGATAATGATAATAAGATATATAAAATAGAGATTTTAGTAATATTTGTCATTATTTTAAGTCGTTGATTTGTGAGTAATGTAGTGTTTTCAATCAGTCTATTAATACTTAATAGTTTTATTAAATTTAATGCTACTTTAAAAAAAACAATAGTTGTTAGTTAGGACTAATAATAAAATTTCACATTGCATTTCTTTTTTTCTCATATAACTTTTTCAACTCTACAACGCACAAGATACTTATTACTTAAATTTTTCAAGAACAACGATAATTAAATGTTGAGAGATATCTTCACAAAGTTATTAATATCTTATAACTATTGGAAAATTTGTAATGGGTACAAATATAATTAAGGAGTGCATACGGGTAGTTCATTTAGTTTTTTAGGTGACAAATAATGCCTTGTGGTGGACAATCCACATCGATCTTCCCACATAATGAGCTGTTGAATTACTATACTTATGCTTTTGTAATATTATGGGGGTTAAAATATAAGGGTTTGAGGGATTTCGCCTTTAACATATTTTTGAATATATTAATTTCAATGACATGTAAATAAATATATAATTTTTACTTTAAACTCTGATATATGTAACATTTTAGAATCCGATATCCGGACTAAACTTATATTACGGTATAACATAACTAAAAATATCTAACCCAATAATCAATTGAGTTCAATAAAAATCTAAAACTTGGTTTAGAGTTCAATTTTGAAGTTTGATAATGTTAATAATGTATAACTTTAATCGTAAGCAAATAACTTATGTTTAAATGAGTAACACAAATAGAAAAGATAGAAGATACTGATAAATGACGCTTAATTTTGCATGCTTTTCACAAAAATGAATATTATAATGAGGGTTGTTGCATCGGGGCTGGCAAGTTGGCAAGGCAATTTCGTGGTTGCTGCCGCGGCAACTAAAACGTGCCGGAATAAGTCAAGAGATAAGGGGAAAAAAAATTAGAAAGAAGGGTCATTCCTGGGGCCCCACATCCCCAACTTATTGCATGCAATTTCAACAATCAAACCAAAGCCCGGCAGCTGGCCACACCTCATCGCCCACATATATTCCCACCAATCCGCCATTTCTGCAACCTCGCCAAGCTTCCAACAATACCTCCGCTTCCTCGTACCTCGTAAACATGTCGGCACCGGCACCGGAGAAGAAGTCGAATTTCGTCCGGACTTGCAACCTCTTGGGCCAGTATCTCCACGGCAAAGTTAGCCTCAGAGATCTCAGTCTTGGAATCGGTACAATCAATAATCTAATCTCTGTTTCTTTTCTTTTCTTGTGTTCTTAGTAGCAGTAATTCAAGCTTAATTTATGGTTTTCAGGAAAACCCGAAGTGTGTCGTGATAATAATACTGCGACAATGGATTTTCTGGGCAATCTGGGAAAATCAAGCCAGGAGGATGGAGAGGCGGCGTCCTGCAAAGACCGTAAAACTGCCCAGTTGACTATATTTTATTCCGGCAAACTCGTGGTGTTTGATGATTTTCCGGCGGACAAAGCCAGGGCGGTTATGTTATTGGCTAGCAAGGGGAAAAGCCCTCCGACCACTTGCGCCGCCGCCGATCCTCCACCGCTTCCATTGCAACACGCCGAAACTAATGCCTCCGGTACGGTACTCCCATCATTCTCTTGCCTTTACTGTTCAGTATAGAAGGATGGGTTTTGATATATACAGTTTTCTGTGACAGATTTGCCCATTGCTAGAAGATCATCGCTTCATCGATTCCTGGAGAAGAGGAAGGACAGGTACCTTTGACGACAAATGTTTAAGGTTTAATTTCAATGTTCGTTAAGACCAATAGTTAAACTTTGTTTGTTTGATCGATGTGATTTATATATATACAGGGCAATTGCCAGAGCACCATACCAAGTCCATAACCACCACTCTGCCATGCCTTCTTCTTCCAACAATGAGGATTCATCTTCCAATTCTGGGAATGAGCTGCTAGATCTCAACTTCAAGTTATAATAATTATTAATCACTTGTTCTTCTAGCTGTTGAATATAGATATATATGTAGTTAATTAATAGTTTTAGCTGCATGTGACTTCCTATTACACTTGACTTTGGCCTTCTCAAAGCCACCTAACTAGCCTCATTTCTTTGACCATGTTTTAGTGCATCATTCAACAATTAATGTATTCTAAGGCTTAACCAGCTTGGTTGACCGTGCACTCTCATCCCTTAAAAATGTTGCGAGTTTGAATCCCGTCTCATATGTAAAAATCAATCTGACCAGCACCTATACGGATTTAAAGGTGTCTCTTACCGTTAGATCAGATCTGCACAGGATTTAAAAGTGTCTTTTACAGTTAGATTTGCTCAGGACATCTCATGGTTTGACAAAAAAAAATTGGGTTGGTTCTGTACAAAGATGCGAGTGTAACGAGATATATGATATACTTTGTTGTAGTGCATCAATCAATAATTAACGTATTCTTAGTTTTTTTTCAACACTGGTGTTGTGTTGGTATTAGGTACAAAGATGTTACTATAGCAGGTTGTACTGAACGTGTAACATCACTCTTGATTATAGTGATTTTTTTGTTGCTTCAACATTTAAAATCTATGGGATTTAGTATAAATCAATATGAATATTGGCCAAACTTCAATCCGGTTTTGTAACTGTATTTTATGTATAAGCATATTATTTTGATATATATAATGCGAATATGCAGATAATGTCATGTGATAAAACTCTTATATTCTAATGAATATATACACATGCGTTGATGAATTCCCTTAAATTGAAAAATAAAAAGATGCCTCATCAATTATGGAGAATCAGATAAGAAGACAAATAAAGACTGATAGATGCCTGCAAAATTGGGAATATGTTTATATTGTTTGCTGCAACATAATATCCACATGTACTAAATTTTGAGATTTTACAATGGTTCTCTGCCCCAAAAGTTTTTTGTTTTTTTTTTTTACCTTCACACAGAATTATTTCTATAATTTTATACATGTGATGGGATAACTCAGGATTGTAATCCTGCATTTATTTCAACTCTTGAATTTTCTAAAATATACGAAACAAGGGGGCATCCATGGTGCCAAACAGAGATGACCACAGTTATCTTTAATTTTGTTTTCAAATTATTTATTAAAATTTTAAATTATAAATTGTTAAAAATTATATACAATTATTTAATCAATACAAATGTATCGCCACATCGGATATTAAGTGATTTCTACATTAGAATAATAGCATATGCAAAAATATAATTGTCGCAAAATCATCAGGAACGCACAACCTTTCAAATGGAAGTCCAACCCGGGTACCATTAGACCACATAGTCCTGATAGATAATATGAGAGCTTAATTACCCATTTTTTCATTTCAATTTAATGAGTCTTGTGGTTTAAAAAAAAAAATAGTTAAGTGACTCAATTTCATTATTTAATCACTATTGCTCATGTATAATACTATGCACTACAAAGCCTCTATGCGGTGGGTCTGGCCAGACGTTTGGTTGGTGTGAATTACAATTCTATTCCCACATAATTATAAAGGCAAGTAAATTCATTCGTTTGGTTGGAAGGAATTCGGAATTAAAATTATCTCATTCCCATAGAATTAGATCCCATGTCCCCCTTAGTATTTCAATTCCATGGATTCTAGGAACAAAAAATATAACTTTGAGATAAAATTACCCAGTTTTTTAAATTAAAAAAAAAAAAAACTTAAAATTGATGTTTGACCCATCTCTTTTGATTATAGTGTGCCTTATTCTTATACTCTCAATACATAACATCAATCAATAGGTCAACCTTAATAAAATATGTGTTCTCAAAACTCTCTTATCTATTTTATTGTTTTCATTATGTAATTTTATAGTTTATTTACAGTATGTTACATAAATTTTCAAAAGTAAAATTTGAAGGTCATTTATGATTAATAATAATAAGTAATAAGTATGGGCATTTTAGACTTTATACTACATATTCCCTTTCAATTCTTATGTTTACCAAACAATTGAATTGAAATTCCCATGAATTCTATTCATGTAAACCAAACACTAGAATTTAAATTATTACTTTATTCCCAGTAATTCATCTCCCATGGAATTGTAATTCTTTTACCACGTAATTACCTCCCCCAACCAAACACCCTGTATAAAATGTTGAAAATAATTAAGTTTTTGATTATTTAAGTATGAGAATCATGTTTCACCACTAGCCCACCCATTTAAAGGCTTGGTATTTAATAATAATAATAATAATAATAATAATAATAATAATACATAGGTGGTTCTAGCTTTACTAGATTAACCATATTCTCACATGACTCGCCCGGCCCATATAGCATGCAAAATTTTTTCCCATATATTATGTTGGGTGTTTTGATGTATCAACACAAAAAAAAACCTAATTAATTATTTTCACTTGTAATTCTAAAATTATTATGTAAATTTCACATTCGATCTTCCGTTATTACAATTTTCACATTTGGTACATAATTTTTTCCCTCACATTTGATAATTCTAACCAAATAAATCTCCAATAGGAAATAGACATATTGTTTCACATTTCCATTTCAAAATCATAATGTTTGATTTTGGACTCATGGATGTTATGACCAAGCACTCAAACTTAAAATATGAGCTTTTTTGTTAAGTCAAACCAAAATATTCCACTATATTATTTTGATATTGCATGTGTGTCGTTGGACAATCTGTTTTTTTTTTTTTTTTTTTTTTTTTTAAGTTAAGTCAAACCAAAATATTCAACTATTTTATTTTGGATATTTTGGATATTGCATGTGTGCGGAATGTGGTTGGGCAATCTTGAAAACCATTAAATGAGGCTCTTTATTGATGAAAATATTTCCAATTTTGGGAGAAAAAAAAAAAAAGAGAGTCAGGGTGGTTGTAACTTGTAACTAGTAACTAATAACAATAACAATAACAACAACAACAACAACAACAATAACAACAACAACAATAATAATAATAATAATAATAATCATAATAATAATAATAATAATAATAATAAAAGATAGTAAACTTTCACTTCAATCTTCTCTTTATAATGATTTTGTTTGGCTAGTAGCAACTAGTGATTAGTAGATTGAGTTAGCAATTAGTTATTAACTGATTGTGTTAGTTTGTTTCACTAATTAGTAGTATTAGATATTTGTGAATAAATATTTGATAAATTAACTGTTAATAACATGTGAAATTATTTCTCAGTACAATAATATAAACAATAAATTATTATTTATTAATAATTACATATAATAAAACTATCTTTAATAGTTAATAATAAAATTTTAAAAGTAAATAACATTTAATAAAACAAAATCTAACATTTAATAACACTATTTGTCACAGTTTTTTTTTTTTCATAAATAAATACATTACTTTAAAAAAAAATATATATATATATAATAAAGACATATAGCTTAAAATGGGAAGTTCATAAAAATGAGGGAAATGAATCTTATAATTTGATAAAAGAAGTGAGGGCATTAAAGGATTTTAACATATTTTCGAAAAATTGAATTCAAAACATCTATATTAGCCATTTGGTTTGATCAAACAACTGAAGTTAATTATAAATGAAGATAGAAGGTAATTTAGAAAATATTTTATTAAACAATGCCCGTATTGAATTTCAAATGGAATCAATTATACTTAATTCTCTACTTAATTTTTTTTTGAATGCTAATTCTCTACTTAATTTAGAATAAATAATACCTTATAAAAAAATATATGTGTAATATATTGATGCTATTTTTTTAAATAAGCAAATAGAAAAAGGCATGTCAATAACCTTATGGCATAATGACACGAAGTGGCTCTCCCATATGAAATGTCATGTGTTTAAACCTCAACGGCCACCGTAAAAAAAGCAAAAAATATGTTATTTTCAATCAAACATTAAAAAAATATTATTTTTTCAAAAATAAATTTTAAATTTTTTTTATTTTCTAAATAGACTCTTAAATTATCAAATTGTTATTTTGCCAATCAGGTGTATACTATCATAAATTTTCAAATCCAATCTATTTGTAAAATGATCTAGAAGAAGTGTTAAATTAAGTTCTTTAATTTAATTATATAAAATTTAATAATTAAAATTAAAAAAAAAAAAAAGAATGTTAACACACAACATCAACACTGATGAGAGACTTAACCCCCCACATGCTCTGTCGGGTCGGAGTGTGGGGAGCCTTAGAGTTGAGGATTCAGTCTTTTGGAGTATAGTGTTTGCCATTTTCAAAAAAAAAAAAAAAAAAAAAAAAAGAAAAGAAAGAAAGAAGGTGTCCTTTAATTTTCATGTCTACCATTTTCATTTTTCATTTTCACTTTTTTCTTTTGTATATTTTTCTCTCTCTCACTTTTAACATACTCTCGGAACCCTACCCTCTCTGGTTTCTCTCTCTCTCCCCGCAAAATCGTTCGGACCCGGGAAATTCACCTTCCCGTCAATTGATTGACCCGATCGGCGGTCTTGAAAATGCAGCACCAGAGGCTGAAGCAGCAACAACAAGCCTTGATGCAACAAGCTCTCCTGCAACAACAGTCTCTCTATCACCCGGGCCTCTTAGCTGCTCCTCCGGTTCGATTTCTCTCCTAAAAGAAAAAAAAAAAAAATCCTTTTGTGATGCTCTACTTTGAATTTCTTATTGTTCGGTACATCGCAAGAGTGCAGTTTGTTATTGGGGATTTTCTTTTTTATTAAATTTTCGTTCCCTGTCGCCACTTCGAGTCTAGGGTTTGATTTGTAAGCTGCACCACCATTTTGTGATGCTCTGCGTGTGAATTTTCGGATGTAGGGTTGACGTTAGAGAAAAAGACAATTTTTTTTTTTCATGGTAAAAATGTTTTCCCCAGATTTTTCATTTCAGTTCAATTTTGTGTACATTTTTTCTAAAATTTGTTTTGTAGAGTGGTGATTTACAGATTGAGGGCCTGGCAGGTTATATTTAATCTTGCAGCTGTGAGAGCATTTGAAGTTTGTATGTTCTGGTGTCTGTTTTATCTGCTTTATTCGGTGTTTCTCCTTGTTGTTTGTTCTTGTGAATAGTGCCTATCTGGGCTGTGCAGCAGTGATGAACCACTAGTGTATTCAGGGTGGCTTTTATGTTGCTTTGGATGTCTAAATGATAGTGAGTTAAGCATTTATTCCACTTTTGATGTCTTGATTAGAGTAATATTTCCACTTTTAGTCGTACTTTAAAAAAATGTGACTTTTAGTTTTAAATACTCAAAATGCCATCACTTTATGAAAGGTTTTCCAAAACCTCAACTGAAGGTATTTTGGACTAAATGTGGACCATTTTTTAGAAGTCAAGAACTAAAAGTGAAACAAATCAAACCTTCAGAAGTGAAAATGCCACTATAGTCAAGGAAATAAAAGTGGAATTAACTCTAGTGAGATGGTTCATTTGCCACTGGGAAGTTGAGAGCTGACTGCTTGGGGCAGTGCTAAACTGATCATTATTTATTTGAGTTTAGTTCTTGAACTTAATTCTAAACAATATAGGACATTAGGACAAGTTCTTTGTTATATGTAGTCAGAGTTTTGTACTGTTTATCGCATTACATGGCATGGAAATTTCAAATTGTCACTATAACTTCAACCAGTTTTTGTCTTGTTGGTACCATATTGGTTCCATTTCTTTCCTCTTTAGTTGGAGAATTATCTGGAAGGGACAAAATTAGGATTTTGAATAAGTAGGGGCACATTTGTCAGTGAATAACTGACCTACTTTAATTATACTTTAAAAATCAATAGTTCAATACTAAAATTAAGGCCTGATTATTTTGAACCACAATATGTTTTTTTATATGTCTTTTACTCTTTGTACTAGTAGAGAGAGAATATCTAGTTTTTGTTTTTCTTTGGATTAAATTTTCAGTTCTGCTGTCTTAGAATGATAAAACAAGTCTTTTGGTTCTTTGATACAGATGCTTCATTCCCCTCCCTACAAAATACAAATAATCTTTTATTTGCTTATTTATCTTTATGTTTAAAGTTTCCTTATTTAAATAGGGAACTGAAATATGTTAACAAATTAATCTAGTGATTTTTATTATTGTTTTTGTTTGTAAATATAAATATATTTTGTTATTAAGTAAATTGGTAAAATAATAAAATTAATTGGGGTATGTGCCTCTACGTAGGTCCACTGTACTGTATGATTTTTAATAGCTATATATATATATATATATATAAAACATGTGCCCTTGCAGCCTTTCTTTCCAATGTTGCTCTTAATAGTTTGAAGCAGTATTAGATTAGCTACTCCATGATCAAATGAAATGGGGTTGACACCTTGAAACATATTGAGTTCATTTTTGCAATTTCCATTGTTTTGTTATATATGCTAGTTACTTAGAGACTAGGAATGTCAATGTGGTGGGGGCACAATCCTCATTCCTATCCCTGCAGTAATTATTGGGGTATGGGGATTCCCTGATCCCATTTATCTTCATTTAATTTGTTTTTAAAAAGAACACTAAGCTCAAATTAAAAAAAAAAAAAACTAAAGAATTCATTAAAAAAAATTTGCAAAGTGGAGTTATGTTTAAAAAGAAAAACCTGTCAATAACCTCTGTATTAAAAAAAAAAAACAAAAAAAAAAACAAGGACAACGTTAAAAATAAACAAATAAAACAAGAACATGCACTATATATTAAGTTTGAGGAAAATTTTAGGCAATATTTTGTCATTTAAACAATGTCATGAATATGACCTCAAGCACTTTCTTTGAGTCCTATCTGAGCACTTTAATTGTGCCATTGTTTGGTGAACTCTAAAGCAATTTTTGGACAATGCACTGTAGTTGTGATAACCAGGCAACACAAACTTGTTTCACTCATAAGCCTTCACTATTTGGAATCACATTATTATTATTATTATTATTATTATTATTATTATTATTATTATTATTTATTAATTTTTTAAAAAAAATATATTAGCCCATTGCGGTTGTGTAGAGTGGCTGTCCATGCCCCCCTTTCCCCAAATTTTTCCCTCGTCCCCATTGGGGTGGGAAATCGGGTTCCCTATTGGGTATGAGTGCATTTTCCATCCCTAATAGAGACTTGTTCACACTTTATTTTTACGGAGGAGAGAGTATTTTGGATGATAATTGGTGTACTTTTGTATAATTGTTAGTTCATTTCTTTTCTATTGGTGTTTCTAACAAAATTGCATGATGACTTATTGAAATAAATAAGTGAATTACCTGAGCTTTTACCCTTTCCGAGATAAGAGGCATTTTGTTTTCCTTTTTCTTTATACCCTTTCTGTCATGTAACTTTGTTTCTCCATCTACTTTTCCACAGTCAAATAAGTTATTATTTTTTTTTTTTGGTTTTGTTTTCATTTTATCTTTTTTTTTCCCCTATGGTTTTGAAAATAAATTCTTTGTTTTTACTTTTGTTGTTTCCACTTCTCTTTCTTTCTTTCTTTCTTTCTTTCTTTGTTATATTCTTGACATTTTCATTTTGCAGATTGAGCCAATACCAAGTGGAAATTTGCCTCCTGGGTTTGATCCAAGCACATGCCGCAGTGTGTGAGTGTTTCAATTCCTATTTCTCTGTTTTTTTGTTTTTTTTTTTTTTTTTCATCCCTCCTTTGTGTTTTCCATGTGTATGTAACATGAAAGGGACTGCTCTAAACCAATTGCTTGTAATCCTTGTATATTGAGATGCTTTCCAATTTTAGTGACTTTAGGACTTAGCAATGTTGAATAGTTAATTCCTTTGTTAGAATAGTTGGCCAAACCTAAATTACATTAATTTGTCTTTTACTTTTATTAGGAAGAGAGTTTTTGATACTCATCGTTTTGACTTGTGCAATTATTTCTTGTTAACTCAGTAATTGGGGCAGACTCTTATATATTTTGTTTTATCTTTTCTTTTGTTTTTGTTTTTTTAAACCTTTTAGTTTCTTTATTTTTGAGAAAATGCAGGTATGTTGGGAATATTCACCCACAGGTGACTGAACCTCTTCTGCAGGAAGTTTTTGCTAGCACTGGTCCTATTGAAGGATGCAAGCTTATACGAAAGGATAAGGTACTTCTTTATTGCAACTTGCCCATATCTCTATTGAATATTGATGATTGATGAATATGCAATTTCCCCCCTACTTGTTTACTAATATGCTTTGTCTGATGTAGTCATCCTACGGTTTCATTCATTACTATGACCGTAGATCTGCTGGCCTTGCTATAATGTCGCTGAATGGCAGGCATCTGTAAGTAGGAATTGAATATTTCTCTTACATGCTGGCTTCACTTTGTCATGATTTTTATTCTTTCAATTTCAGGTTTGGCCAGCCTATTAAAGTGAACTGGGCATATGCTAGTGGTCAGAGGGAAGATACTTCTAGTGCGTATATATGTCTTTGTGATTGTCAAGTTACTCTGCTCTTCTTTCAAAGCAATTTTTTTGGTAACTGGATGGTTTTTACCTCTTGTAGGCCATTTCAATATATTTGTAGGTGACCTCAGCCCTGAAGTTACTGATGCCATGTTATTTGCTTGCTTCTCCACATTCCCTAGCTGTTCGTGAGTGCCTACTCTTCACTCTACTCTTACCATTTGACTTCAAACTCCAACATCTAACCCCAAACTAGGGTCACCAACTCACCATGTACCTGAACCATCTCCCAAGTAGTTTCGGATGGGATTAAATTCAATCTTGGTTTACTACTACAAATTTCCAATTGATTTTAATTACATGCAACTCTTATGCATTATTAACGTGTAAGATGAATTTTTTTGTGTAACATAGGCATACATATTCAAATTAAATAACATGCTTTTATTTTGACCTATAAAATTGTTTTAGTGATGCAAGAATCATGTGGGATCAGAAGACTGGGCGCTCTAGGGGTTTTGGATTTGTTTCTTTTCGAAACCAACAGGTATATTTGTCTGTAACTCTTTCATATATATATATATATATATATATACACACACATACATATATGGAGCTTGTTTTCTGAAATACTGATGTAATTTTTTTCCCAACCTTGTTTTCTTTCTTTTATTCTTTCTTCCAGGATGCTCAAAGTGCCATTAATGATATAACCGGTAAGGCAAATCTGGAATGTTTGTTCCGTATTAGTTCACTTTATCATTAGCAATCAAGTATAATATTATATGAAGTAACAGATTTAACTTCTTTTTTTTAAAAAAAAAACTAACCTTGACCTAGATTTTAATATTGAATTGCTTGATTTTCTGGGCTGTGTTTAATTTTGCTGCAACTACTTCAGGAAAATGGCTTGGCAGTAGACAGATACGATGTAACTGGGCAACTAAAGGCGCCAATGCCAATGATGACAAACAAAGTTCTGACTCAAAAAGTGTTGTGGAACTAACAAATGGTTCATCAGGTGCACATTATACTTTAGAACTGCAAAGAGAAAACAATTTAAAAGAACAAAATAAATGAACCCCATGCTGCCCTGCATGGATGGTGCATGAGTTGTGGTTTATGAATTTCTGAAATGTAATTCTTCATATGATCCTCCTATTAAATGAGGGATTTAGATCCAATTATTGAAATTATGTTTTCCAATTGATGCATTTCATTGTAAATTGATACAGTGATTTAGGCGTCTTTTTTCCTTATTTAAAAAAAAATTAATAATATTCCTAAGTGCTTGAACTGAAGTTTACTGGTTGCTCATTGCTTCTGCAGAAGATGGTAAAGAGGCTGCAAATAGTGAAGCTCCTGAGAATAACCCACAATTCACCACTGTGTATGTGGGCAATCTTGCTCCCGAGGCAAGAATCCTGCTCTTGTTCTAGTTGTTGCAAAATCATGTTTACTCCTACTTTCTCTCTTCATCTATTATATTCTGCCTTTTCCGTCTCTCCCTTTGTATATAACTTTTTATGCAAGGGTGGAGTTTATATCCTCTTACTTCTCCTTGGCCCCTGTTTCCTCCATGGCCATTACCAAGTTTAGAATTTACAATTACAATGGAACCCCTGTCCATGTAAACATCATTCTCTGCTTAGATGTTGAAATTTCACAAGTTTATTGATCTGCAGGTAACTCAGGTTGACCTTCATCGCCACTTCCATGCCCTTGGTGCGGGAGTCATTGAGGAAGTTCGTGTACAGCGTGATAAAGGTTTCGGTTTCGTAAGATACAGCACCCATGCTGAGGCTGCTTTGGCTATTCAGATGGGAAACACACAGTCAATTCTTTGCGGAAAACAAATTAAGGTTTGTCTTCTTGATTGCTAGAATTGCTTATACTTTGCAGTCTTTTAGCAGAATATAGAGTTCTACTACATGGACTCTCAAATCTTACACCCTAAATTTTACTCCCTGATGTGGCACACTGATAAGCTACTGGTCCCCATGCAAGTGTCTACATTAAGATTTTGTGTGTGGGAGTAGAAAATGAGAGTACACATATGCCCTGTTTGGTAAAAAGTTGGCCTATAGGCCAATTTTGGCCTATTTGACCACTATTAATTGTTTGATTTAGTTAAAATATCAATATAAATGTTTGGTTAATTAGCTTTTTGCAACTCCAAAAGGCTAAAATTCAAAAAGCTACTCCAAGCAACTTTTTCATTTAGCTTTTTGAAAAAAGAAATTATACCAAAAACAGCTATTAGCTAATAGCTAATTTATCAAACACTTTTCTACAATCAGCTAATGTTATCAACTATTTATACCCTCTAATTAACACAATCAGCTAACAACTAACAGCTATCAGCTAACAGTCATTTTACCAAATAGGGCCATAGTATTTTCCCAGAATATAAGCTTTTTTACTCGTATGTTTTTTTGTGTTGCTGCTTAGGAGTTACCTTCGTGTTTTTATGCATGGATTCACTTGTTCAACACTCACTTTTTCATTTATGCATCTAGTGCTCATGGGGTAACAAGCCAACGCCACCCGGAACAGCTTCAAACCCTCTCCCACCACCAGCGCCAGCGCCCTTGCATGGCCTATCAGCCACTGATCTTCTGGCTTACGAGCGGCAGCTAGCAATGAGCAAGATGGGAGGGTTCAACGCCCTCATGCACCCTCAGGGTCAGCACACTCTAAAGCAGGCGTCGATGGGTATGGGTGCTGCCGGAGCCAGCCAAGCCATTTACGACGGCGGTTTTCAGAGTGTGGCTGCTGCCCAGCAACTCATGTACTATCAGTGATATTGCCATTCATCTGGCACTACCATTGCCTTTGTCTGTGTTACTCTTTTAGTTTTGTTTAATGTTACAGTATTTTTTTTTCCCAGCTTTTTTAAGAGGTGGTGCATATGTGTGCCACGTGTATCGTGTATCGGTGTATGTTCTATCTCTGCATTTGTAGGAATGAATGGTACTATAGTTGAATATTCCTTTGCGCTGGAATTGCGCATTGCTTGATATTTTTTTTTTTTTTTTTTCTTTTTGCCTCTCGCCCCCTTTCTAGGGTTATGGAAGTTGGATGACTAGCGAATTATATATAGTGTGGTCTTAGAACCTGACATTACTGCTCATGTTTGCTTTCAACTAGTCATTGAAATTAAAATTTCTAAGTCGCCTCATAACAATACGATATCACCATATATTGTTGTAAAAAATTCATATAAAATAATAATTGGAGGAATGGGGCATGACCCAAGGTTAATTGGCCAAATAAGTGGAGATCTAGGAGTTCAATGGGTCCAAGGGTAATCACTTGGTTGTAAAAATTGTGCCTAGGCGCCGATTAATCGGCGCTAGGCGGTTGTCGGCCGCCGCGAGGAAGGTCGGAATCGACCTCCTCCGCGGTTAGGGGTGAGCAAAATAACTGGACCGACCGAAAAATCGATAACCGATAACCGAATCGTCCGAAATTTTCGGTTATCGATTCGGTTTCGGTTATATAGTTCAAAAAAGCCGGTTATTTCGATTATTTCGGTCGGTTATCGGTTTTTTTTCAAAAAAATTAATAACCGATCGAAAAACCGAGGATTAATTTATATAAAAGATGAAGTCTAGTACCCAAACTAATTCTAATAAATAAATAATTCCAATAAATAATCCCAAACTAAGGCAAAAATATTATGAAGTTGTTGACGGTTACTGTGACTTAAAGCTATGTTTAGTTTCAATCGTTATGCTGTGGAACCGTGTCCACCTTGCAAGGTGGACACGGTTTTATGTTCATAATTATTGAACAATATGTTCATAATTATAAAGTTATATATTCCTAATTATTGAACCCTATATTCACAATTACAGAACTCTATGTTCATAATTATAAAACTATATATTCATCATTTTTGAACTTCATATTCACAATTATTGAATCTTTATATTCATGATTACAAGATTATATGTTTATAATTATGTTTACAAATCTATATTCATAATTATAGAACTATATGTTCATAATTTTTGAATTATATATTCATAAATTATGAACAGTTTTGAAACCGGATCCACCTTACAAGGTGAACACAGTTCCACAGCATAATTTGCAGTTTAGTTTTAGCACTGTAGTAAGCCAGGAAATGTAATTTACATGAATAAGTGATTGTTTGGTCCTAGACTATCTCAAAGAGAAAATGGTTAACACTGTGTGAACAAAGTGTCATATCTGTGCATTCTATTTCTCTGGTCAGTATTAATTCTATGATTTCATGTTCTTGGTGGGCATGATGCCAAGAGGCATGTGATTTGATAATAGCACCCCAGTTTATGTTGTTGCTGGAAAAATATATAAGGTCAAAAAGTATATGGCTCCACTCAAATAGCTAGATATTTCCACATCTCAAATGAATTGTATATGTTTAATTACCAGGCAGGGACATTCATCTAGGTTGGCAGCTCTTGATTATACAGTTTGCCTCTACCGTGAAGTTTTTTGTCACAACACAGGGTGGTAACTTCCAGCATTTCTTAGTGGGTCATAGACACTATTTTAATGGAGGACATGGCAAGACAATCAAACATGCGCGTAAATTCATTCTTCGGTTAAAAATAACCGACCGAAAATTTTGGTTTTCGGTCGGTTCGGTTATAAAAAGTGCTTCGGTTATTTCGGTCGGTTATGAGAATGTTATAAATTTTTCGGTTATTTCGATTATTAATCGAAAATCGACCGATGCTCACCCCTATCCGCGGCCGGCTGGCTAGGCGGCTGGTTTTAAATTTTAATTTGTTTTTGTTCGGGAAGGAATACCCAAAAAAAAAAAAAACTCTTAAATTTTAATTTTTTATTTATTTAGATGGTTTTAACAATCTTCAAAACGATTTTACAACCACTTATGTAAATAATTTGTAAGAAAAACTAGAGCAACCTTATGTTTTATTAGTGAATTTCATAATTTTTAATTTTAATTTTTTTTTAAAAAAAATAATAAAAATAAAATAAAAAAATAAAAAAATCGGCGCCTAACGTTTTTTGCAACCTTGAGTAATCATAATTTATGTGCAATGTTTTTGGGGCCTAAATACGAAGTGAAGAAAGTTAAGGGCTTGGAGTGGGCTAAGAAGTAGAGTTAAGAGGGTTGGGATGTAAATGTTGGAGGGATGAAGTCCAAACTAATATAAAGTGAAAGTAAAGTGGACAAAGGCGCAAAAACTGAAGGGATGCGGTATGAAGTGAGGAGATGAGAAAAGTTTGAGGGTTAAAGTTTAGTAAAACATAAAGTTAAGGGAGCCAAGAGCGCAAAGGAGTGGAAAGTGAACTAGACTGGCTTTAAGAGCGTTTTTTGGCAAACATGTAAAGGGGTAGAATATAGGAAAAAATTGAAAAAAAGGAGGTTAGTTCATAGCCAACCAGGGTATCCCTATCATTGGATTGTGGTGTCGTTGGGGATGGCAGACTGTGGCCAAACAGCATTGACGATTGTCAAATGTGATTTGGGGTGAGACGCTTGGGGCGGTATCGCTCGTCGTCCAGTTGACTGGGTTGTCGACAACATGAAATGTGGAGAGGGGTGGGGACGGGGGTGTTTGACAATTGATGGTCTTCTAGTGATTTCGTGACGTGATGTGTTGTTTGCAGCTTGCGCGAGACACTTGACGGTTGGCAAGGACACGAGTGTAACTGGGACTCATTGAGCATCAAGATTCACTATTTGCCATGGCCTCAAAAGTAGTATTGGGGTTGGGGAGGGAGGGAGGGGGGGGGGGGGGACTTGTCCACTTTAGACGTCATTATTTTCACAATCATCAACTAGTTGGTCTTTGCCTTCGTTGGTTAGAGAAAGTCACTATGCAATCATATAAATGGGCTTGACATTTGTGTCATTAGCCATTTTATAGTATTTTATTCTTATTCAGTCAATTTGTAGTCTGATTACAACATTTAAAGGGCATTGTGACTTGTGAGTATAGCATTATTCTCTTCCATCAAATTTTATACATTTCTCTTAGTTATGATAGGTTTGATCTTTTTTTTTTTTAGTATTACTTAATTTATTATAATATAATATATGTTTATACATAATTTATTAATCTATTGAAACACAAAGAGTAAGCGACTCGATTTATTAAAACTATCAATAATCAATAATAATAAGTATATTATTATAATTTTTTAAAAATACAGAATATATTAATAATAATTATTGAGAAGCATAACTAACGTTCTCTGTTTTTTTTTATAGGGTCAGGAATTCAGGATCCTAGACGGAAAGCAGAGTGAGTACCCTTCCCGCGCTTAGAGCTCTAGGGTTTAAGCTTTACTTCAAGTACCACCGTTGCAGAGATTTTTCACGAATTTGGGACCATCAAATTTCGGTGTTTACCACAATGGAGGTGGATATGGAGACTTCCCCCAGCAGCTTTGACCCCGAAGATCTCAGTATCAGACAGCGCTTTCGTCGATACGGGTAAGCAGTCTCGGAGCAATTCTCAGCTTTTTCCCCGACTCAAATCATATTTCATTCAATTTCTATGGGATTCCTTGCTCGTTTAGCTTCTGCATTTCCATATCTACTTGAATATTGATGACTTTTCCAAATTAAATCATCATTAAGTTATAAAAGAGAGTTGTTGGGTTGAACCTTTGCGCTTGGGGTTCCAGAGAATTTTTTTTCCTTTGTTCTGCCAAACAGTCGCAAAGTGGGCTCTTGGTTTAGCTTTCAGGTGGCCTCCATTTATCACTGAAATGTGAAAAGAAATTCATTTTTTTTCCATCTGTCAGAAGGTCAGAGAAAGAAAGAAACAAGAGAAAAAACTAATTAAAGCTTTAGTCTTAAGTGCCAGAATTTGAGCTATAAAGTCCTTAAGGTGTAAATCTGATTTTGGTATAGCCTATAGCAAATTGGATTTGATTTTTTAATTTATCCATACAATATAAAATGTTCTGGATAGCTACAGGTCTTCCATATTAAGTGTCTTTAGATGGGAAATGTTCTTTATGTATATATTTGTGTGTATATTCACATGCTTGTTTGATTTCTGACATGCATATCTGTTTTGCTAATGAAAATATTTGGCTCATGGTAAGCTAGACTTTTAGGGTATTCTTATCATAGATAAACATTGATCTATAAGTACCATATGCAGCAAACGACATTCTCCTTCTAGCCTATCTCCGCACCGAGAAAAATCAGCTGATAGGTTAGCAGAGGTTAGGTCAAATTCAGCTCTTTTTCTGGAAAGTATCAAGCAAGAATTTGAAAGCCTTCATAGTGATCATGTAACAACACCTCTAAAGATGCAAAATGACACAAAATGGAGATCTTCTCTCGAGAGCCATGTAATTTCCGGGACAGATTTTGGTGTCGATGCCACTCGCCAAGGTGGAAGCATTTCCCTTAAAACATGCAAGGAGGAGCATGATGCAGTGGTAGATGATGAGGGCACAACCTTTTCTTTATTTGCTTCGCTATTGGATTCAGCTCTTAAAGGTTCTCTTTACTTTAATATATCTATCTTATCTTTAATATTATATCTGCATAAAAAAATGTTTTGAAAGTCTGATTCTTCAATTTGAGCATAATTCTTCCATCACTAGTTCAATCTTCAGATTACATTAACATGTCCATTGCAGTTGTATTGATGCAATACTCTTGCTACTAGGAAAGAATATTAAAGATCCCAACTAGTAGTTTCTTTATTATGTTGTCCTTGGTACTTTTCTTTAATTTTTAAGGAGATTCTGTGAGACACTTATCAATAACACACAGAAAAGAGATTTTTAGAAAGAATCACATTGCAAAAGTTTCTTAATACATGTATCTTTTTTAAAAATCAAATCAGTTAGCTGTGAGTTTTATTTTATTTTTGCCAGGGCTTGTGTAAAAAGTAATCATTCTCAGTTTTTCACTAAATATTTTGTTTTGACAAGTTTATCACTCTGTTTAGTTTGCTCTGAGAAATCAGAATATCTCAATGTTCAAGCTTGTCATCAGTAAGCTCCTTTTCTGCCATTTGCGTAACATATGCA